ATGAAGAACTTTTAACCCAATCACAAACTTTGGTTTTGAGACTATCAATTAAGTTCACTTCATCATCTAAAGGAACTGAAACATAAGTGTTTGATAGTTTCGAATGTTCACTGACTTTTCCCTTCGCATCTTGAGTTTGTGATTGAACAGTCTTCGCTTTTGTGACAGGTCTCCATGTTTTGACTGAGATATTCGAATCCTTAGATGATGAGCTGCCATTCGAAGAAGTATTGACATACTTTTCGTATGCTTCATGAATTTGCTCTTTTGAATATTTATTTGACTGATACATTTTTCCTCTTCCGTCAAGCCAATGATCAATGTTCTTCCTTGAAGTCATTCCTTTTTCCCGTGACGTCCTCATAGTTTCTTTCTTTGTGTAATTAGGAAAATTTGGCTTTTGAGGTACAAAATCAACTTTGGGTTTGGTAACATAAGAGTAAGCATAGGATGTATCAATTTTTGATTTAAAATGTTGACGTTGAAAAACTTTTTGATTTGAATTGGATCTTTCTGAAAAATCTCTTGTTTTGTTAGTTTCAGAAACTTTCGAAAACTTTGTTTGCTTATGTACTTCAGACCTTGTTTGATTTGATTGAGATGATTGTTGAGTTTTTGAAAAAGAATCATTTTTAACGTTGAAAACCTTTTTGATGGATTGTGATTCAGACATCTTTTGAGACTCAATATTTTGCCAAAATATTTTCTTTCGTGCTTGTCTTTTTGAAATGTTTTTTTCCTTCGAAAATTTGTCAATTTGATCTTTAAATTCCTTAGAGTTTTATTTGACAACTTTTTCATTTTCCTTTTCAACACGAATTACTATCTCTTTTTCAACTTTTGTTTTTTTTCAACCCATTGTTTTTGTGGTTTTTGTCGTTGAAAAATATATGAATTCTTTGTTAAGTTGTTTTCAACTGTGTTTTGATTTGCGAAAAAACCTTCCTCAGTTGTTTTTGAATTATCCTCCTCAACCATCTTCTTGAACTCTGGTTTGATATTCTCAACATTTCCGGTAGTTACGAAACTTGATTTGGAAAAAATGACATCATCGATGCATTGAAATTTGGAAAACCCCCCGTTGTTTGTTTCAAGATATGTCACCTTTTCATTCACACTTTTTCGAACTTTTGTGTCTCACCATACACTTTGGTCAACAAACTATTCATGGAATTACTTCTTTCTTTGAAGATTTCTTTTCTTTCGAAACTTCTCTACATCTTCATCATCACTATCATCAGTTTGTATCTTTGAGACCACGAAGTTCATTTCACTAACTTTCGAAGTTAGGGAATATCAGTTTCTTTTTCAATTATCAAATCCTTAACTTTTCTTTCCCTTTAGAATTCGAAGCAACATTAACAATAGACAACTGAGAAAAATGACATCTTCAGCTCACTAATTTCACTAATTTGTCAGAATTACTTCAATATCAACAAAATTAGATTGAGAATCAGATGATGAATTCTCAGTCTTTTCAAAATGTGAATTTGTTCAGATTTAGTCAAAGTATCATTTACAATGTTAACTAAATCATTCGAATCAAGACATTCATCAACTTTGACAATTCCATATCTATACTTGTCATTCGGAACTTTGTCAAAATCAACTATTTCTTTTTCACAGTCATACGAAATGTTATCTACCTTAGCTCTTTCATAAGCTAAAAATGGCAGCAATTTTCTATGTTGTTCTTTACGTGATTTCGCATGAATGATGAAGTTCAGTTATTTTCCCATATAATCTTTTAGCAGCATTACAGTAAATGTTTCTTTGTGCTAACAACAGTTATTATCACTAGATAAATTGTCCCTATCAACCATGATATTCGTTATTTGAAGTTCTAGACAATCTATCTTAGTGATTTTCGAATCTAATTCTTCTGTGTCTCTAGCAATTGCATTGACAGCTTCTTAGCCTCATTGCTAGCAGATACCACAATCGAATCAAAATAAGTAACAGTTTCATCAAAAGATCTAATCAGAATTATAAGCATGTACTGGAATATTAAAGATTCAGAATGTTTCGTACCTTTGTGGTCATTGGTGATTTGTCAGCAGCTTTTGATACGAAGCATCTTCCATGCACTTCGTATGTTTCCTCCTCTGATTCTGCCTCCATTTTTGCAACATAGCTCCATGGGTTGGATTTCGCATTTCCTCATCATCTGATCCAGATGACCAGATTTGATAAGTACCATCTTCATCCTCATTCCACCCTTTGCAACCAGAGACAAATTTTGGCTTTCGCACGAAACCTCCTCCAACTTTTCAGCATAGTACGCCTCATCCTTGACCTATTCTTTCTCTCATCCTTCTTTCGAAGCATACAGTCATTAGCAAGGTGATTAGCACCATTGCAATAATGACAATCAATCCCAGCATCTCCCTTTAGCTTCTTCTCAGACTTTCCCTCAACAGGCTTCGAATCTTTCATCTCATCTTTCTTTTTCTCTTCCCAGCACTTTTACTCAGAAAGTTCCCTTTTGTCTCAGACGACTTTGCTTCGGATTGAAAGGCTTTTTGAAGAACTTTTTTACACGATTGTTTGAATAAAAGGCAACTGCCTCATCATCTGAGTTCATGATGAACCCTTCATCTTCATCCGAAGCATCTTTCTCAGCATCTTTTTCAGAGATCTTCGAAACCAAAGCTAATAGACCTCCCAACATAGCCTTCGATTCTTCAGCTATTTCGTTCACTTCGCTTTCATGAGTCTTAAGTTGGTTGTACAAGTCATTCAATGTTGACGTATCAAAGCTCTGTTGATTCTTCACCATCATGCTCACACTACGCCATTCCTTTCGAAGTCCCATACAAATATCAGATTGAATTCCATGGCTGATCTGGTGATACCATATCGATTGCATCGTATATCAATTCATTAAGACGATCGTAATAACCTTCAATTGTTTCACCATCTTTCTGTCTGAAGTCCTTCAGCTCCACTAAACATTGCTTCACAGAATTAACTTTCGTCTTCTCACTTCCCTGAAATTTTTCCTTGAGATTGTTCCAGATTTCCTTTGCAGTTGTACAACTCCTCACGTAGTTGTAAACAACTGGAGGCAAAGCTCCTCTTAGCTCTCTTACACACCTTTTCTCCAGCTTTTTCAGACGATCAGATTGATTTTCAACTTCAGAGTTTCCAGAAGAAGAACCAATTGGTTGAACATTCGATGGTGGATTGAGATTGCCAGAAATGCAATTCCACAGTTCTTCATCCAATCCATTGAGATAATCCTGCATACGATCAGCCCACTGATCGTAATACTCAGGGATGAGCATAGGAATTTTGGTGGATGATCCTAGAAGATGAGAAAATGAAGTCATGGAATTCAGATTGAATGACGCCATTGTTGTACGGAATAGATCCTTGAGAATTTTTGAAGAAATTGAGAATTTGACAACAAACTGTATGATTCAAATTCACATCACTCTTAGAACACTCGATTCAATGAATTAAGTGTAGAATCGAATCACATACTTAGATCTAAATAATTTTTCACTTTCAAAAAGTGCGGAAACTTTTGAATCAAAAAGTTGACTCAAAAACCTTTTGAACAAAGTGAAAATCAGATCAGAGATATGATTCCTGCTCTGATACCAATTGATGAGACAATGAATCAAGTATTGAACGAATTAGAGTGTAAATTCAAAGTAGAATTGAAAGATTTGAACACCGATGTAACTATGATCTGTTTGGCTCTATTACGCTTTTGCTAATTTTACAGAGTACAATCAATATTCTGTAAAGACTTCGTTACTAAGACACTAGTAACCACTCCTATTTATAGAAGAGAAAAGCGTACAAAAAATATACTAAGGACTAAACATGAAGCTTCGAATATTATGCCCTAGTAAAATACATTACAAAAATGTTCGAAGACCCTAAATACAAACTTCGACTATTACAACATTTCGACCCTAACATGAAGGGAATTTTCTTTTCTGATGGAGTTAATGACGTTCTTGGAATAAAAGTGCGGTTTCCAATATTAGTTCCAGATATGATATGTGCCTCAATAACACGTTTGCCCAATGATATCACCTGGAGTCTTGTCCCATTACACAATCCATTTTTCTGATCAATATTTTTCAGCAACATAACGGGAACACCTATTTTTAAAACTAACTTATGGTTTGGTAAACCCGATACTTTCAGACCATTTAAAACATTAGGTGAATATAAATTTTCATCAAACTGATCATGGACAAATTTAGATTGGCATATACTATCTGAACTTAAATATTCAACCTCATCTCCTGGAAACTTCGATAGCAAACGATCGTTTATTTCCTAAACCACTTCATTTTTTGGAGCAAGTATTGCTCTTTCTTGAAAATAGCTTGTATTGTTGTACTTTTCCAAAATTGAAGGATATACGAAGTCGATTAATGAACCTATGGGATCATGTGGATCATTAATGAGAATATCATCTGGAATATCAATAACCGTTTCTCCATCGTTGATACCACCAAGTTTTCCTTCTCCTATATCTAACAGCCATTTTGCAAAATCTCTGATCTTTTCTATATCAGATTGATCCCTTCCAACAGTTAGTCTCATGTTTTTTTGTTAATTTATGGATCTTTATGTGTTGCCATAAATATGACGAGCTTAAAGAAGCATTAACAATGTTTGTCTACTTCCACCTGGAAATAACAGGTAGAATTTGTCTAAAATCTCCTCCAAAAACAATAACTTTCCCTCCAAACGGAATATCCGAGTTGGTAGAATTTTCAGACCTGAATAAATCTTTCAAACTTCGATCTAAAGCTTCAAATGCATGCTTATGGACCATAGGAGCTTCATCCCAAATTATCAATGAGGTTTTTCTCAATAAGATAGCAAGGTCACTACCTCGATTTATTCTACAAACAAAATCCTCTGTTAGTTCAAATGGAATTACAAATCGAGAGTGTGTTGTTCTACCTCCGAGAAATAATAGTGAAGCAATCCCACTTGAAGCAACATTTAAAACAATATGACCATCTTTTCTAATAGCTGCAGATATTGTTTTCCATAAAAAAAGTTTTACCAGTTCCACCATAACCATAAACAAAGAAGACACCTCCTTTATTTTGTTTAACTGCAGTCATGATATCAAGGAAAATGTGACGCTGCTCATTTGTCAATGCAAGAAACATACGATCAAACTCGGTATTCATAATGGGAATGTCATAATCTAGCTCCTCGATGATAAGTCGATTGTTTGAAGAAGAAACATAATCAACATCCGGGATAGGCATGTTTTTATAATTTTTTAGACTCAAGTTGTTCCGAAGTAAAACTTGTTCTATCTCGAACAAAATTAAGTTCTTAAGTTGATCTTCATTGAGTGATAAGTCTATAGGAGAAAGAGCAAATTAATTTGAAATATTATTATCAATATTTGTATTATAATTAAAATATTAATTAATGTATGTTTAAAAATAAATAATTGACAATTTAATAAATAATAATAATAATAAAGTTTAATACCTGGAGACTTGAATCTCTGTCGTTGGTTATAAAGAATTCCATCTGCCAAATATTCCCATGTGTTTTCCCAAACAACCTCCGGTTTAGACATACTATTACACATCAACAATGTAGCAAATAAGAATCGTAGGTAAAAACCAGATCCAGAATGACTCACTTCTTTGATTGCATCGATGTATTCCTTGTCATCATCCAAGAGACCAAGAGCATAACAAGCATCTCTAAAAGAAGAATATTCTTCACCATTTACTGTGCGAATTTCTTCAAATGATTTGGGACCTTTCACCTTATTTAACAATATCCTTAAAAAATAAGCTTCACCTAGATTAGGTGAAACCGAATGAATTCTACCAATGCACTTTCCTACTTTCAGTGGCTTCCAAATCCTATCACCACGTTGCCAAACAAACTTTGTAGGAAATTCAACATACGTAAGTTTCCGTGCATCAGCATTAACTACATTACACTCCATCCAAGCTGTGAACATTGAAGAAGCAATAGAAGGTTTGTCCAAAAACATCGTCAATATCATCGTCTTCCCCATATATAATTTGTTGTTGACCAGGAAGATGAAAAGGCAGTCTAACCACAGAAGGATACATGTAATGAACATCATATTTAAAAATTCGCCATGATGCTTCACCTGCAGATAAATATCTACAGTCGTAGTACTCATTTATTTCATCAACCGCATCATTAGTATCAGACTCGTTATTGCTTTGTACAATGCCAACTGTAGCTCTATCAGGTCCCTTGTTTATGTATTTAAATAAATACTTTATAGAAGAACCCTAATTGCACCATTCAACATTAATATGTGCTTGATATCTTTTCAATAGATATTTGTTGTAAGGGTCAACATTTCTATTATCCAACTCCACGCCCGATTTTTCAACAAAATGACCATCGTTTCTTCTCCTATATAATGGAAAACCATTCTGATCAACAGACGTATGATTACAGAATTGCTTTGGAAAGTTTTTCGAGCACTTTTTGTCGACCATACAAGGACAATTCATATTTTCAGCTCCACATGGACCATGAATCATGAACTCATTCACAAGAGAATACAATTTTGGATCTTCATCTATGTTTGGTATCTCAGCGGAAATTGTCGGATCGATAAATTCAACAGTGGGCAGCTTGTAGTCAAAATGCATAAATAGACATATATGACTATGGGGGCAAACCTCTTTTTTGAAATTCATTTGTATAAACAACTGCATAATATTTTGCACAAAAATCAAATATGATTATACCGTAATGAAAAATATAATAAATATATAATAAATAGCATAAACTTTTATCAATTATGAAGAAACATTATTTCAAATACCTGCTTGAACTATGCCAAAAATGTGATTCTCCCTTAAGTCTTTAATAAATGCATCAAGCTTGATTTTAAACAACCTACATAGTATATCAGGTCTGTCTTCTGGTTGAAGTGAAGTATCTTTAAGAAACCTTTTAACCTCTGGCCATTTGGGATTACACGTAAAGGTTATGAAGAAATCAGGATATCCAAACCATTTACATAACGACATGGCATCCAAATAGTTCTGGAGCATATAGCGCGCACCACCAGTAAAAGAGGAAGGTAATATCACACGTTGGCCAACGTTGGAGATATATGTAGTCCCTTGAGCTTTTTGGTTACGTAAATTCTCATATGACTCGCATCTAAGAACATGTTGTTGCCTACGTATGTAATACAATCTCTCACTTTCAATTATGGTATAAGCATCTACCAAAAATTGTTGATGCAACCTTTTTGAATTAAGAATAATTTGAGAACGAATGATCCCTGTCTTGAATTCTAAAAGCAAAAAATTCTCTCATTGTACATTTTGCGCGCTTGCTGTTTGTTGTAGATGTAACACCTCTATGAAGAATATCAACGTTGTAACCATCATCTCCATATGGAAATAGTAGCGGATATTGGAGAGGAAGGTAAGAAGGATGCAATTCACTGATACGTTGTAGAAATCCCGACTTAGTTTCAACAACGATGTCTCTATTTTCAACTGAATCAGAAATGTCACCTATAATTAAAGCGGCAACCTCAGAATCAGTTGGTAGGTTATATGTCCTTCCATCTCGATCTCTTCTGCCGATGATTTTTAACCTCATATCAACTTGAGGATATTTTTTAAAAGTATCTCTTACCATCCTATAAGAGCTAACCAATACATTATTTGAATCTAACATCAACTTCAAATCTTCAATAATATCATTATCGATTGATGTAGATTGATGTTTTTCCCCACTATAAAATTTGAAAATATACATAATATTAGTACAAAAAAGATCGAAATTAACTATGAATAAGAAGGTTGAAAATATACCCAAAACATCTCTGTCTATTTGAATTTTTTGTTGTCCGTATCATAAATGTATAACTGAGAGAATTTTGGTTGCGATCCATCTGGTGGTAAAAGGCTTCCAATACTATGATAATTTTGACAAACCAAGTCTGAAAATGTATGGAGCATTTCCTCTATTGATTGAAGAATCAATTTTACCACCCATCGACGTAAAAGAAAACATTGAATTGTAACGTCGAATGTTTTTCATAAAGTTTTTGCTTTTAGAATCCGTTCCTCGAAACATTCTTTCATAAGTTGGTGGTGCGTTCTTTAAATATGGAAGTTGAACCTTGTCATAACCACAACATAATGAATAATATGTGTTTCCTCTTTCTTTTCCTCTAATGGATTCATTTTTCCATAATTTTGCATGACATGTTTGACATACCACAATTTGATCACCATGATCCAAATATTCTGTAATAAAATAAAGATTTATAAGTAAAATATTGAATTTCATAAACAGTTATAATACAGTATTTGAGTTGTAAAAGAAAAAGAAAATGGGTATATATATGGATTACCTTTGGAAATACCAATTATTTGGTTTTCACTAATGAATTCATGCATATTTTCTACATCTGCTGTCAAATCAATAAATGGGATAGGAGATAAATTTTTCCAACTTCCTTTTTAATTTATGACATCCTGAATTTAACTTGATTGACGATGAAGAAGCGGTTATTGTAGATGCATTTCTCGAGGTCATACCATTACAAAGTCCAGAGTAATGTCTATTATTTTGTAACGTTGAAGTTGTGTAGTTATTAAAACTACTATTGGCTGGAAAAAAATAGTAAAATTATTACCATTTGAAATGTTAGAAAGTGGTTGAAAGATAATTTTGAAAAGCAAAATTATTACCATTTGAAATGTTAGATAACAGAGTTCAACATTTATATATGAAGAAAATGATTGTAGGGGTGTATTTTGGTTTCCACGGGATTTATAGGAACGAACATTTTCTTTTTCACGAACAACGTTTTTTTGATTGATCTGTAAAAAAACAAATTGTTAAAAAAATTGAAGACATGTATTATAAAATTAAATTATCATGTAAATTTTATATTAGTACATTGAAATAATAAAATGATGATAATGTATGTATTTTTATATAGCTATATGAATGGTGAAAATTAAAAAATAAAATAAGAAATTACAAATATCTGTGTGTGTTAAGACATGTGTTCCACATCGATTTTGAACACTGGATTTTGTATTCTTTTTCTTCGACCTCATATTATCCAAATATAATTTTATCTGTCTTCTTTTCTCTTTTGCTTGTAGTACATAAAATCATTTGTTCATGTATAATGAATAAAAAGTATATGATATAAAATGTATATGAGTGTAAATAATTGTGTTTGATATAAAACTGAATATAATAAATGATTGAAATTTGGTTAAAATTATATTTTTCATACTAATATATAATAAATAATAATAATAGTGAAGAAAGAAATGTACCATTGTAACCGTTGTTAACAAATGTTGCAGATGATGAATCTTCCTTGGTCGATGAAGTAGGCAATTTTTTTGGTTTTTCTTATTATGTTAATAAAGATTATTGTTAGAATAATACATGTTATTATTTGATTATGAAATTGCTTCAGGTAGATAATATATTTATTTAAATATGGATTTAACAATATCTTTTTAAAATATATAGAATTTATAAAACATTGTAATTATATAATATGAAAATAATTTATGTGATATTTTTTGTGTTATTAAAAGATATATTTAGAGCTTAAAAATGTGTAACAAAAATATAAAACAAATGTTAAAGAACAAACATACCGTTGTAAGGTGTATCAAGTGCATTTGTAGCTGTTGAAGTTTGTCGGCTTGATGTAGTAGACAAATTAATGTTAATTCTATTATCTAAATAAAAACTATTTAATTTTCTACTCTTTTTAAAATTAAACGACTTCATGATATATCTCGAATCTGAAGAAATAACAACAATTAATTTATAAGATAATATGATAAACAGTAAAGAGTATGATTAAATTAAAGCAAAACAAAGTATAAACTAATATTATGAAAATATTTTACATATAATTGCAATTTGTTTTATCATATTCTTTAAGTGGGTCTATTTTTGAAATATGATTGCATTAATATATTTTATATTTTTTTTATGTACCCTAATATAAAAAGTATATTTATTGTATATTTATATAACATTTATAAAATAAAATGTGAACAAATACTATTTATATTAAAAAACATATGAGTAAACAAAATGTACATAAATTTTTGTTAATGATTCACAAGTTAATATAGAAGTTAGTTGTCATTTATTATTAAATAGGGACCATTTACGTATATTTACTTAAACATTGAGCATAAATTGGAATTTTATTTACTTAAAAGATAAAATAAACGTTTAGGTTAGTCTAAAACACAAAGAGGCATTAAAGTCGGACTTGTATGTATAGATAGAAACGAAGAACGAAAACAAATAGTTGTTAAAGCTTATTCGTTTGTTGTGTCGATCTTTTAAACTTACAAGGTCAAAGATGTGTTAAGGTAAGAAAAATGGGGACCGGAGGCGAAGGTGTATTACAAATCGACTTCAATATTAACTGGAAATTTCAATTTTTCAGAAATAAAGATTTGCTTACCTGTAATCGTCAACTGGAGAGGACAACATGAATCAAGAACGAAAAAACGCAGCTACTATCGACAAAGCAAAGACGATCCAGAGGAAATGAATTAAAATAATCTTTTAATTCAGTTTTGAACTTTTGATTTTGAAATTGTGTGGAGGGAACGATAATTTGTTTTGAAAATTTGAAACTATTAAAACAAATTGTTGTTAATCATCCATGAATATTGGTGAAAATAATAAAACTCTTCTATTAATCTTTTGTAAAACGACATTAATTGTCCAGAATATGAAATTACAAAAATCCAAGAACAGCTTACAGTGCATCCATAGTCAAATTGCACAATTAATTGATTTAAGAGTATCTTAATAGTGGGATGGGCATTTTAGGCATTTTAGACATCTTAAAAGATCGAAATATTTGGTTAACTTTTTCTAGATTCTGAAAGTTATATATAATTAATATTATGTAATCCATATCATTTATATATTATGTTTAATTCCAACAGTTCATGAGATCAGCAACACAAAACAATATATGAGATCTTTATT